GGGGTAGATACGTTGGTGCTGCCGTTAGGCGCAGCATTACTGGTAGAAGGTTTCCCTCCGCTGGTGGTCGGCCTAGCACGCCAGTTGGTGTTTGCGGTCTCAGCGGTAGCCAAAGATGATGGTGGGGCACCACGAGCACTGGAAGAGGCCGTTTTTGTGGTAGTCGGTCGAGTCGTAGTGGTAGACATCGAGCTGTAACTGACTGGAGATGGTGTATGGAGGTGAAAAGGGAGATGTGACGAGTTTTGAGCAAGAATGCGGGAAGTTTTGCGAGTGTGGAAGGGATGCGTGCTGGGCAGAGGGTAGAAAGAGGTCGAAATGAGGTAGGGTGAATTTTTCGAGGGTTCTTTTGGGGGTGTTTTTGCGCGGGATAGAGCAGAGTAGAGCGTAGAGTTGAGTAGAGGCAATAGACTGCGGTTTAAAAAATGTGTAAGAGTCGATCTCTCAGTGCCTCAAGCCTCGACGTAAACCAGACAGGGCTTTTATTATTGCCTCTGGGTACTGTACGGTAAGGCTAGGTAGGCGGTAGAGAGAAAGATAGCGAAGAAGGGAATCGAAGGCGAAGGAAAATTGTAAGTAGTCCATCACGTGTACTTTCGTGGAAGATTAACTACTTAAAAGGAAACGCGCCGTTACACCCACTGGTTATATGGCGTCTGTATTGGTACGGCCTGATAGTACGTTGAATGTATGCATCGTAAAGAATACCACCACCTTTCCAAATTTTTAAGATCGTATGGTGTTTACAAGTATGAATCATTATTTCGCAATTGCGGGGGCTTCTCACCGCAATTGTAAAGGTCCGTCTCCAGCGACCAAAAATCCGGGATTATCTCAATGTTTCTAAGTAAGAGGTCTGATAGCTTAGTCGGTGCTGAATTGGGCCTTTGACCGTGATGCCCTCTATTACAGGCATATTAGCGCCTGTGATAAGTACCATCCACGGGTCATGTGGTCTTTGTTTTAGCACGCGACGCGTTTATGTGGTATCATTCAGGCTCATTCAGGTCGGTTCATCTTATGATTATCCTATCACCAGCATTCACTATCTATACCCAATCTATCAGTTTTCTCCTGTATTTCGGTGGTATCAAACCAATGAAGGTACCGATTGGGGCTTGATGAGCTTCGGCAGTCCCCTAAAATCCAATTTTGGTTCATGTACGACCACAAGACCAGCTCGAAGCAATTGCGGAAGATATTTTCTGGTATGGCGAAAAGACACCCGTGTGATTGCGAAATAATTATCGACACTATTAAACATCATAGGATCGTCAATACAAAAGCGCAATTAACGTCCTGCAACAGTGAAACACATGACTAGCGCAAAGGCCTAGGTAGCTCGGCGTTGATGGTGAGTCAAGAAATATGGTGTCTTTAGGGTTAAGGCAGGTGGAAGCCGACAGCCCGAGGGCTGAGAAGATCACAAATGGAATGCGAGTCGCAGAGTCGAAAACCCCCAGAAGCTTCTCTGCGCACAACGATCCGGATAACAGGTACTTGTAAAAGTAAGTAATCAACACAAGTGCATCCGGTGGGTAGATGTTCGATCGCCTTATGCAGCTGGGTAACTTATAACTACTGTGTGCATACCGTAATTGGATGTCGGTGTGCATCTATGATCACTGGCACGATAGCAGATTCGGGGGGCCCTGCGGGTAATTTTTTTGGGTCCAGACTGGTTCGAGTCCATGGCTTGATAATCATCAGCTCAAATGTTGTGGGCTGGCCGGTAGAACGTCAGAATCGAGCATGGCGTAGCTTGCTTCTCTGAGTCTTCTCGCGACGACCTGAGGGCCTGTCGGACAACGCGGTCCGAGCGGTCAAGTTTCCGGCACGAAAGAATTACGTTACCGAAACACATCCCACCGTCGAATCACCATGTCCTCCGTACAACCCCACTTATCCACTCTTTTCGAGGCTTGTACGATGCCAAATTATTGCCCCTCAATGTAATTCCAAAATCACGTCATCCATCACAGCCCATCTTTGTCTTCCAAGAACTCTCAATCCGTGGCCTCTTCGCATATTTCCTCGTGAAACCACCAAACCCATAAACCGTCCAAGACTACCAATATCGCGATCTCTGCATAGAGAATCTGATGCTACCTTACGTTTTTTCCCCTCGTTTTCGTATCCTACAAGCCAAAACAGGTTGCTTGCTATTGGGCTCGCCGCTCCATGGCACCATCGTTCCTCGCCCGGGAGGTGTAAGATAAGAGTGATTTGGATCTGTACGTGGAAATGGGCTGCTGCAGGGAAGTGGTCAAATCTGCGACAGTGGAGGTTGGGTACGATTGTGGGCCGTTTTGGAGGGAGAAGAATTAGGATCCGGATCTAGACACAGCGTTGCAGAAAATGCTGGCAAAGGCACCTTACTCTCCGCCCGTCGATGACGGTACGGACAAAGAGGATAGCTCAGATGACACGGCTTTCCGGAATTGTCATTTGAACGGTATTGTCGACGTCCTCTGTTAAAGGGATACCAAACAATCTTAGCTGGTCGACGCCAGACGTCATCATGGGCGTCCACTCCAGTACGCTCCTCAATCGCTTCTTCATCCCTCTCTTCCATCAAAACCAACCTTTTCCTCCAGCCGTCGTCATGAACATAATCAACCACGCATACGCCATCTCACTCTACTCAAAACCAACCTTCATTGACCAAAGGCTACCGCGTCAACCACATGGCCGCTCTCCACAAATACACCTACCGAGGTTCGAAAATCATCGACAACATCGACACTCAAGTTTCAACCCAAACTGCGGGCACTGATGGATAGATTCTGTTGGAACGTCCAAATTACGATATCGACGCTGAGTCGTTTCAACTCAAGCTTGAAGAGGATCCGAATGCCAGGATGATGTATGGGAAGATACGGAAAGAGGGATTGGAGCGGGAGTATCGCACGCGAGATTATGGAGGTTCATCGATGACTGCAGAGTGCGCTCTCGTGAATTTTCTGACCCTTCCTTTCCTTCGCTTACGTTGTAAGAATCATTCTAGCCTCGATAACCAATTGAAGCCGCCCTTGTTCAGCATATACGATTCGCTCAGACACAAAGATCTCAACTTTAGGAACGGATGTCAGAACGCCGAAGAACTGGTGACGCCAGGATTCCAGCGAGCGAGAGAACAATACCCTTCCCTCACGCGCAAGCCTGACCTCCTACCAACCGCGTTTGCTGCGAGAATGTTCGAAATCATTATCAGGTCACACCGAAGGCAAAGGTCCTTCCTACCTTAGGCCTGGCTTCCGCTGAAACTTTCTAGGTCACCTTTTCATTCGCACTGCTGAACAAGGCTGAGCGGTTGGACAAACGCCAGGATTGGTATTCCCAAGGGATACGTTGCTAGGCGCAATCGCGTACGGAGGTACACCCTATCGCAGATCCGTCGGTTGTGTTTAGGGTGAGAGAGAGCTTAGAGTTGGAGTCGAGGTTCCTCTCGCTGATGAGCCGTAGGAACCTGAAAGGAACCTTAATTGGAATCTTTCAGCGGCGTGCTCAAACAACCATACACCTCTATCCTGAAGGCTCGAGGAAACGACCTGCCAGTAAGTAACACCCTCTCGACGCTCGTTTCATGATATTTATGTGCGTCTTCATTCCCCTTTGACGAAGGCGAGGTAAAACCCGTCCCCAGCGGGGGAGGATAGCTTGGTTCCATGTAACCGAATGGGCACGGTCATAGTCATGTGGTTGGTCATTTCGTTTTGTTGGGTATCGTGCCCCATGGCTGAGTTGGTTACAGCGTCCGACTGTTATGCGTCACACTGGCACATTTGAAAATAGCAATCGGAAGGTCGTGAGTTCGAGCCTCACTGGGGCAGTTGGAAGGCATTGTATCCTTGCACCTTTTTAGTCGTTGAATACCACACAATTCCGCCTCGGTACTCAAGTCGAACCGAGTTCTTGGCCAGGCTACGTTGCCGACCGGCGCTTCTCTTGAACGTAATCACCTCTCATCTTGGGAGGGTCGGGCAGCGTTTCCCAATGACGTCCCAAAAACATTAATGTCGACCATTTTTCTGACCGACTGGAGCTTTGATCGATCTTGCCTACTGTAGACCGGCGCTCAAATCAACTTTTGCTACCTTTGTTGAGTGTTAAAGGGCGGATTCCTGAACATATTACGAGGGACACGGTGCCTCCGTGTTGAGAGTTGGCAGGATATGGAATGCAGACTGCGTATTGGATGACGCTGTAAGCTGGTGTTGTACCTCCAATACCATACCCTACATATACTCTAATACGACAACCTTTAACTCCGTCAAACGATCGAAGGTTATCGTCGGTTTGGGTGGGAGTAGGGGAAGATGAGGGGTACTCGCGCGATGGGTGGGACCTCCAAGGTGGGTGATACGAGGCTTCGTTTGAGATGTGCCAAGGACTCCAAGGTGACGCCGATAGCCCGTGCCACACATACTCATAGATTTGTGAGACCCGTGTGAAATGGTCGATTCCGATGGGCGATGTGGATGCTAGAGAGATCGGGGTTGCCACTCGGAAGAATCAACGTGCGGGCTCGGAAGACAAGGTTCGAGCGGCGGCCCCACGTCGGGAATGGAGGGTGGTTATGCGCGCCGATGGAGATGTAGCGAATATGTTGCTTATGATTATGAGTGTAGTGGTAAGGGTTATCATTTTCCTCCTCGTCCTTACAAAGAAAGTGATGCTTCACCTCAAACTCCAAGAATTCGCCTCTTGAAGGAGATGTAGGAAGCCATTGTTCCGAATCGAAAACCCCTTCGGATCCGATTGTTGCACGGTAATACCATACAAAGGATGGCTAACTAGGAGCTCGAGAAGAAGTTTGTACTGATCCATCCATGATAGTTCACGTGCCACGTGAACGTGCATCCTCTCCCTCCCCCTCCACCACCGTCTCAACAATCATTACACTACATATGTCCCCCCATTCGGCCTATCCACATGACTAGTTTGTTCAATCCTATTACTCGCGCTCCTAGTCGCCAACTGCTGTCTCACATAACTAGTCTCCACATAGCTCTTTGTATCTTGAAACGAGTTACCAAGTCCGACTCGGACAATGATCAACGATGGGGCAATACCCTACTCGACCCAACATTACATCACCACCCAATCCAAACCCGGGAGATCGAAGAACGAAGACTCACCACAATATGATGCAATGAAAAGGACACAGAATCGCCTTTGCTCCCGGGAATTATCAGTGAGAGGAGTATGGCAACGGGGTACATGAGTCCGGATTCGATGCTAAAATCTCGAACGTCAGCCGAGCGTAGCCAGAGAAGAATGCAAGAGGCCCCGATACCCACATGATAACCACAATGGACATGTACTTATTATAAACGCGTTTTCCCAGGAGAGATTGAGTTTCGCGCATGATAGAGATGATCTTCCATGCTTTAATTTGATGATTGTCACGAGGGACGGGAGCGCAAATAATCTCTTCGATTCACTGTTGTTGCATGGCGAATCAAGACTCACCAATCATGGATGTGAGCAACAAGTTGATGACCACGATTGTAGCACAAAACGCGGTGTTGATTCCGAAAGGTACACCAGCGCGGAAAGAGTATCTGGAGGCAGTGGGTGTCTCATGCTGGGGGCCGACGATCATGACTGCGAGCCCAAGGGCTGTCGGTAGCTCAATATCAGTTGCAAGGCTTGAGATAGGTCTACGAACGCGTACCGTTACAGACCATACACAAGACAAAGGGTCCCGCCACGACCCTCCAGTCGCGGTTCCAAATCAGATAGCATCGTGATATCTTAAATCACAGGAGTGGATCGTGGTCAGCGGGCAATCTGAGAAGAGAATACAGCGGGCTCACCAAGATACCATCGGTGATGCAGCTGAATAAATTCCTCAATATCTATTGCGCACAGCCAAGTCGAACAAATAACATACTTTGAGATCAGGAAAATGACCCAACAAGCTTGCCTGTCGAGAGTTGGAGGTATTTTAGAACGTCATCCAAATCCGAATATCCGAATAGCCGCCCCAGCCCACTCACGTCAGATCAGTTACCAACGGGTTGTGCATCTTCGTATCATGATCTACTTCTGTACCCTCGACTCTGAAGTTGAAGGTGTCTATCCCCCGAACAACCACAACCCAGACACTGAGCCATAGAGCGGTAGTGGCGAAAAGAAATAGTGCTATCATGATGATGATATACCAAGAGTGGTTTCGTGTCTTCCGGTTCTTGAGGATCACGACTCCGGTCCCAAATAGAACGCAATACATCCCTAGAGGGTGAGGTGGTCAAGTCCTAGACCTCAAAGGAGATCAAGATATATGTACCGTAAAGAAGGCAGGGGACCTGTCCAGTGTCGGTATGGCGTATATCACACAAGATTAGAGGGTGAATAACACAGGGCGTGATACAACGTACCGCGACGTCTATTAATGACTCGATGAAGATTGGTCTGAGGATATTAAGCAAGTCAGTTGTGTTGTTGGAGTTCATGACTGAGGAAAATGATCCCGGATGCTTCGAAGTTATGACATCTCTTATACTGAGTATTTTCGTCACAGCTCAGAAAAAGACGTTTAGTCGACGCCGGCGGTGGATCGGGTATAACCCCGCGGTCCAGTGTATAATGAAAGACTGGATTGTCCAAGTTATTGCTATAAATAGGGCAATCTCGTCGGGGTTAAGCACCTTGGTAAGAACGACGGGGGCAGTTTACATGCCGCGAGCAATTGATTTTGATGGTGTGTGATCGACCATTTCGGTCATGGTAGTTAAGTTTAACAACTTTGGACAGCATCTCTCCTCCATAGACTGACTTCGTATTCATGGAATCTGACTTATGAGAGATCGCCGGGCTCCCGCATTGTCCCACCCCGGCCTCTCACTTCTTAAACGCGCCACAACCCTCGAGGGCACACCCGCCTGTGGCGCCTAAACTCAAGAAATAGAAATGCGGCTCAGTAGGCGTCCCGTGGAAGGTCTGTTTGCTCGGCGAATCCCGAACTGGGGTTGTACGAGTGACGTACCAAATATTTCAAGCAGGTCCGTATTGCCGTCGTATGGTTGAATCTGCTTACTATAAGTTTGGCATTCCCGCTGTAGTCCCCAGGCCCGAAACCACGGGTCCACCCCGTTACGACTATTTGCAAGTTTGTGTTCATGGATCGTGTCGAGATTGCGTTCTTGCGGTGGGAATATTTCGAGGATAGCTAACGAGTTTCCAAGTTGTCGTCGAGCCTATGGATCTGTCTTCCTTCACAGTACCCTACTGGCCTCCTCGCCCTGGTCTCAGTCCGCTTACCTTGACATCTTACCTCACCCTATCCCTCATCAAGTCAACTTTTATAATGAACAGGCGGACCTCTGATAGGACACAGCTTTGCACGCAGCAAGCCGCTGATAACTATTTTTCCCACGCTCCAGCTTCGTAGTGATACTCTTGTTTTTGGTGATGCTGCATAGATACCAGTCCTTAAAATCTACCCATTAAATACTATCAAGTCTTCCCGCACCCACGCACAAATCAGCATCGCATCGCTCTAGTGATACTCGTCGGACACATACGAGCTAACATAGGGATCATCGGGGAAGGTTGTCGGCTTGAAGCGAAAGAAGATAGAGACCTCGGCTGTGGTTCGCGTTTATTAACGCTGAATTTTTTTCGGAAATGGTCCAATTTGTTATCTTGGCCCTACGAGAGCTCACTACGTCGGACCTATGCCACACTGGTAGTCACTTCCAGATCCAGCCCGCCAGCTCCACCGGCTCGACTCATAGTGGGCCGAGTTTCCAACTGCTGCCTGAACCGAAGGGTGTCTAGATAACTTTTGGTGTCTTGCAACGAGTTACCGATCCCGACCCGTACAATGATCAACGAAGGTGCAATTCCCTACAATGGACATTCTTGGACCAGTGAAAGATGGATATGGGAATCACAACTCACTACAATATGATGTAACGAGAACGAGACAGCGTCTCCTTTGCTCCCTGGAATTGCTAAAGAGATGATGATGGCAATGGGGTACATAATTCCAGATTCGACACTTTCAGGTCAGGAATAGTGAGCCGCCGATACGTTGTGGCTGCAGTAGTTGGAGAGTACGCACATGATCACCACGACGGACGTGTACCGATTATGCACCCGGCTCCCTAAAAGACTTTCAGTCTCGCGCATTACGGAGAAGATTTTCCACGCTGCAAGTCAAATGTTAAGTCAGCACTCTTGGGTATACAGAAAAAAGATACTCACCGATCATCGACGTGAACACAAAGTTGATGACTGCAATTGTTACGCAGAACGCTAGGTTTATAGCAAAGGGTGCACCTGCACGAAATGAGTAGTCAGATGGAGTCGGGGTCTCCCTCTCAGGGCCAATTATGAGGACCAGTCCGAGGGCTGACAGGCAATGGGTCAGAATGACGATACTACTCACTAGAGTATAGGGAAGGACAGGGGATCAATTCGACTTACCGTTACAAGCAACACAAGAGACAATCGGTCCACAAATGATCTTCCAGTTGCGGTTCCAGATGAGATATATCCGGGAGATCTTGAATTGCCAAGTACTCAGTAGGGATGTATAGGTGGGGCAGGAGGACTCACGAAGATACCATCCGTGATAAGACTTGAGGCCGTACGGTTCAGTTCTCCAGCCATTGCATTGAAAAAGAGGGGGTACTGACTTGGATATCAGGAATATAACCCAACAAACTCGTCTGGGGGAATTGAGAAAATATTCCAGCTTCAAACTGAGAGTGAGCCGCTCACACGAGATCGACCACCACTGGACTTTCCATCTCCTTCTCCCACGTCTTATCCCCTCCTTCGCCAAACTCGGCTCGAAGCTCGAATGTATCCAGTCCCC